TGTGAGTTGTTCTCAGCAGCTCACCCGTGTACACGTTTAGCAAAGAAAGTAACTTTGTCTCATTGTGTCTTTATTTCTCCTGGGTTTTTTTACAGAGTTTTCCCCCAACACCAGGTCAGGCACTACATTTTATTTGCAAGCACTAAAAGTGCATAGTTTCCCTTTCCCTCCAGATAGACAACGCCTGAGGAAGAGGGAAGCTGAGAGAAAAACAGACTCCGCAGGTCATTTCCTCGCTGTCTTCGGGTTGACTTCCGCTGCACTACCAGTACAAACATCCACCCCAGTTATTGCCTCTTCTGTCACAGATTCTGTGCTGGAACTGATGCAAATTGTGCATTTCCAGCTCTCAACTCTTTTTAATGGTAAAAAAATGGCCTGCATTTGTATAGCGCTTTACTCAGTCCCTAAGGACCCCAAAGTGCTTTACACTACATTCAGTCATTCACACACTGGCAATGGCAAGCTACATTGTACATTGTAGCCACAGCTGCCCTGGGGCGCACTGACAGAGGCGAGGCTGCCGGACACTGGCGCCACCGGGCCCTCTGACCATCACCAGTGGGCAAACATGGGGTTACTATCTTGCCCAAGGATATTTGGAAACCAGCCAGGAGGCAGCCTGCCTGCATGCAAGAGGAGGCAGAGTGAACCATCACTGGGATCGAACCACCGACCTTCTGATTAGTGGCTGACCTGCTCTGCTACCTGAGCTACAGCCACCCCGTAAGGTGGTTTGCCTGATCACTTTCTAGTATCCTGCCCCAAATGGTTAAAAAGCTCCACCTGCAGGTATGTTCTGGGATACAGGTGGGCAGATCAGTTACTAATATTAAACCCTGGCTACTGCTCCCTGTGTTTTTGCAGGCTTACCAGGCTACTCCAACCCCTTCAGGCTCTCGCTGATTTCGGTGTCGGGCAGAGACTTGTTGATTGAGAGTTAGCTAAACAGTTGCACACTCCTCTCCTAGCACTCGAACTTCCCATACTACCCAAAGCTATTAATCACAATCAAAATAAATAATCAAGTGTTTGCCCACATCACTCATCAAACTGAAACTGTCATGCTAGTTAGATCCTGTAATAATAATAATAATAATAATAATAATAATAATAATGAACAGCCAGGAGAGTCACTTACCTTTTTCCCCATTCAATTTTCCCAACTTATTCTCGGTTTCCACTGGTTAACTCTCATATAGAATGGCTCTAGCTCTTACCTCCATCCCATTAGAGGACCGTGACCTACAGGAGGTGTTCAGCAAACAAAAGGCTGTCTCGCTACCAACCCACAAGATTGTATGACTTTCCCAGCGTTCAGGTCGCCAAGCAAAGCTTCAGCCATGTGGCTTTTTTTTCTCGTCGCCTAACCCCAGCCCAAAGAACTACGATGTAGGTGATGGAGCGTTAACTACTCGCTTAACTTTAAAAACCTTAAAAAAGTAGATTGAATTCAACTGTACACATCAGTTTTCCTTCCAAGAAACATTCCATTACTTATCTGTATAACAGAAGAAGTCACTTAGATGAGTGATAAAACATCCGGAGAAACTAAACTTTCGGGCATGTCTTTGCCTGTAATTCAGGAATTAAGAGATTTTTTTATGTATAGATTTTTTTTTCAGTTATTGTTTCAATTGGCTCATTTTCAGCCTCAGCAGCATCTCTCAGAAGAAAACCAGTTTAAACTTTGTGCCAATCATCAGACAAAAAGTGAATTCACATCAGAGTGGAATTCATAAGATCAAAAGAATAAGCACTTAAGATTGTGTTCTGCAGGGGAATGATAAGTTTCATATCCTCCCTCTCTCTTTTTAAATGTAACTCATAAAACAAGCAAAACTACTAATCTGTACAAGTTACAGATGTCCTTCTAGGTAAATATACACAACTCTTTTGAAGTGATTTGAACTGTGAGTTAAAGGACATGCAGAAGAGGATGCAGAAGATGCAGAGTCAACCATCACTGATGCAGTCTCTCCTGCATAAAGTTCAGGTGCTCGTTTTCCTGTGTGGGTGTCTGATGCCACAAAACAGACTCAGAGCTATAACATCCTAAATGACTATGATATGGAACAGATGTGGGTGTGTCCTCATCTCCCAGAGGAATTCCAATTGTTGTCATAAAAAAAAAAACCATGCACACACAAAAACACCTGAAAATATAAACATCAACCAAAAATCAGCAGTAACTTACTTACTTTACGAGGTCTGTGAAAATTATTTCCATATCATTTACAGTATATATCACAGCATCAAGGGTCTTTATAAGCACGGAGCATAGTACTAAAGTGAATCAGTTTCAGCTTTTGTTTTTCCATCCATAAATCAATTTTCTTCCGCTTATCCTTTTCAGGGTCGCAGGAGCCTATCCAAGCTGTCTTAGGGCGAGAGGCAGGGTACACCCTGGACAGGTCGCCAGTCTTTTGCAGGCCAAACACATAGACACAGACACACATAGAATCATTCCACATCGAAAGACCTCAGCCTGATGGTGGAATTGAACTCAGGACCTTGTCACGGTGAGTTAACAGTGCTAACCACTGTGCTGCCCAGTTTTGTTTTTCATTATGCATATTTCAGTAATAATTAAATTTCATTATCTGTATCTTTACCACACTTGACTAGGTGTAGGTACTGTAGGTGCAGTGAATGCTTAAATTATGCTCTTTGGAATATACTAGACATTCAATGTTAAGATTCAGCACACTGTGTTTGGATTTTGATTAAATTACATTAATAAATATGTATGTAATATTATATAAAAATTAATATTACACACTCTGTGATCATCATTTATGTCCAGTTCAGAATAAATGTGTGCACTCACATATTAAAATAAATAAAGTCAATAATATCTGCTAAGACTGGAGATAATATAAGGAGGGAGAGAACTGACAGCTATTATTTATATCAGCCTGTCTCAGTTCTTTTAATTCTAAGTATCATAAAGTAATGTGGTAACATGTGGACTGATGTGTTTACAGACAGCATTTTAACCACTAGTTTAAAGGCGGTAGGTTGCACCCTTCGATCTAACACTGTATAAATGTAACAGGGCTCAGTGCTGGTTCTAATAGTCTGAGCTGCTTTAAGCTTTGTTTGTGAAGAGCACAGCAGCATGATCTTAAAAGAGTGGGTCTATGTGCTGTGACACTAGCATTAGCCATGTTAGCACGTTACCTTTAACACCTGGTCAGGCTGAGTCTAAAGGCGTACATTAGGAGGTTCAGCTCTCCATTTTACTGTAGAGTCCCTTCATTCTTCACATATCCATGTCGGGCAGAGAGTACATCTGAAGGCTGAATGGCCTTTTTGCAAGCACACACACTTTCTAGCATTGCAAAGCTATCAGTACAAATAGCAGTGTATAAAAATCCAGGCAACCAGCCTGTGCCTGTGAGTACCTTAAATCACGCTGCGTGGCTAGTTTGCATTGCTTCAGGGTTTTGGAAATGAGATAATCCAATAACCAATCTGATAGCTGATCCAATAGTTAATTCCAGAGCTAATCCGATACCTAATATAATATACTAATATATTAGCTAATCTGTGAGCTGACAGGAAAGGGAAATGGATTTTCAAATGAGGAGTGGAATTGCCTTTTCAAATACCAGAAAGAAATCCTGGATTTTTGAATTCATTTCTTTCTTTCTCTCTCTTTTAAAATATGTTTAATATAAATTAAATTTAAAACATCTGCATGAAACAAAGAGGAAGTGTGTGAAAGAGACAGGGAATGTTTCTAAGTCTTCCTCCTCTATCAGATATTCTCTCCATACCTAAGAGTGTCCAGTCTCCAGCATGGATCCTTCAGTCCAGCCAAAAGCAGCTTCATTCCTGAGTCACCTGAATGATTGTAGCCCAGGTCCAGTTTTCTAATTTGGAAGGGGTTGGAGCTCAGAGCTGAGGCCAGTGACGTACAGCCTTCCTCTGTGATCAGACAGCCTGACAGACTGCAGACACACAAAACAACAATCCACCTCTGAACAATGATTTTGTGTTTGTCATACAATAATGTCTATCCAATTCTATCCATTCTATTTTATTTTATTTTATTTAAAAAGGACAATTTTAAACAGACAGTCATTGTCATGTCAAGCTTTTTTACACTATGAGCCAACCCGCTAAATTATTAGAGAGAAAGCCCAAACTCTCAGACAATCTGCTTTGAGCAGCACTTGGTAACTGTGGAAAGGAAGAACTCCCTTATAAATAAAGATCCTTCCAATAACAACAGGCTTCAGGAAGAGGTTTAAGGGATTATGGTAAATAGAAGAAATAAGCAGAGAGACAAGAACAAAACACAAATGAAGGAGAGAGGGGACACAAGTTAAATATTAATTGAACTTTAAACTTCAAAGTTTAAATATTAAAGTTAAATAAGTTTTAGAAATACTATAACTTGGCATTGTTGTTATTGTATCTTGTGTATTTTAATTTATATATTTTTTACCTTCATGAACAAACTTGTTCATGAGCAAAACTGTTTATTTTTCTTGAGCAACAAACTCCTCAAATTCAATATTTGGATTGTAGCAAAAGCTGAATTACGAATTTGTGGAACTGATATTAAAACTCTAAACTAAAACCTGCCACTTATGAAACACTGTCTTTTTTTTACTCTGTGCGTGAGAAATGAGAAGTTGGTTTTTTCGGTGGATACTCGGAAATTGAATATAGTTCTGGCCTTCCAACCCATAATAATAATAATAATGGATTGGATTTATATAGCGCTTTTCAAGGCACCCAAAGCGCTTTACAATGCCACTATTCAGTCACTCTCACATTCACACACTAGTGGAGGCAGCTACAGTTGTAGCCACAGCTGCCCTGGGGCAGACTGACAGAAGCGAGGCTGCCATATCGCGCCTACTTGCCAACACCAGTAGGCAAGTAGGGTAAAGTGTCTTGCCCAAGGACACAACGACCAGGACAGAGAGCCCGGGGATCGAACCGGCGACCTTCCGGTTACAGATGTGATTCCCAACCCCCTGAGCCACGGTCGCCCATCTCTAATTGCCTGGCTGTCCTCACTCTCAACAGCACCATCAGAATCCACATCGCTGTTGTCTGAATCTGTTTTGAATCAGTGACGCGTGAGCAGAATAACTGAGAGGAACAGGCCTTTTGTTGGCTAAATTAATTCAGGTACATCAGCACAAACTCAACTACCACATTGATTGCTGTAGAACAAATGGCCTGATTTAACAAAACATGCCACAAGAAACATAACCCGTACCGTACTTTTCTGTTACTAATTAAACAAAAAATTGACTGTAAAAATTCTTCTCACAGTACTTAGAACCTAATAGATGGATGGCTGCAAATTTACACCAGCTTAATGAGGGGAAAACTGAAGTCCTTGGCTGTGTCCCAATTCAGGGTCTGCACGCTTGAAGTACGCGCACTATGCGCACTATGCGCACTATGCGCACTATGCGCACTATGCGCACTATGCGCACTACGCGCACTACGCGCACTACGCGTACTACGCGTACTACGTACGGTGCGTACTATAAGTACGAGAAGTGCGGAAGTGAGAGGCTTGTGAAATGGGACGGTATACCCTTCGTCGCGCTGTTCAGGTTGCCTAGCAACCATGATACTAACCGCGAGAAACGTTACATACAGCATTGTTTGACATAAATGAAGGAAGAAAAAATTTTTTGTTGGTCATTCATTTTTGTCATGACATCACTTTGATTAGTTGAGTATCTGAGGCTGAGACCACGGGACTGTAAAACATGATTGTTGGGCTTCACTTCTGTACTGAACAGTCATTTCAAGATTAGTTAGTAAATAACAATTAGCTAATGTTGTTCATGAGACTAAAACCCTCTCACTGTGGTAATGTAAATATAATATGTCCAATATTATAGTATTGTCAGAATATTATATATACATATATATATATATATTAGGGGTGCAACAATATTCGTATTGATATTGAACCGTTCGATACAGTGCTTTCGGTTCGGTACGCATATGTATCGAACAAAACAAAATTTGTAATTTATTTTATCAACTTTCCTTCTGACGATGCTGTCTGTGTTGAGCGCTCAGTGAATCTGCGTTCGACTACTCCGCCTAGGCTGCACTGTCGAGCAC